ATACATCCATACATCCATACATCCATACATCCATGCATACATCAATCCATGCATACATCAATCAATGCATACATACATCCATCCATATACAAAATCTAATAACTGCATCACTCACGTTATACTTACACAAAAATGCGTTCAGAATGGGAAAACCAATTGTCAGATAATAAAAGCATATTTTGTTCTTGACTAATGGCGTCTCCTTCATATTTTATATAGGAAACGTTTTTCATACAGCTAGAATTCACATGGAAACTGATTAGATAGTTGATCGTGTTAAAAGTATATATATATATATATATATATATATATATATATATATATATATATATATATATATATATATATATATATATATATATATATATATATATATATATATGAAGTGACCCTAAGAAACACATAACAATCAATACTTACAAAGAATATTTAATAATGTTATGGGCCTTCTTGACGCAATGCCATGGAATTGAATAGCTTGAAAGAGAGTTGTAATTTTCACATTACGGCTGAGAGAAAAGTGTAGGTTAAAACTACAAACGCCAGAGGTGTGGCTAGGGGAGGTTGGGTGGGGCGGCCACGCCGGGAGAAAACCCTACTAAGGCGCCTAACGGGATAAGAAAATAAGTAAAAAGCTTATTCTAAACTGTCTGTATAAATTACAAACAGTAGAAGTTTAAACAAAAATAGACTGCTACTTACTTAATTAACTGTTTTCTGCATAAATGGTGTGACGCCAATTTAATACCTTATAAAGAACAGTTCCGATCTTTGGTAATGTATGTGTGTGTGGGGGGGGGGGGCGGGGGAAGATGGGGTGGGTGGGGTAATCGCCGGTGCGAGTAATTATATTCATTTTTCGGATGAGGGGGGCGCAAATTGATTGTGTACCCTAGGCGCCGGAAAGAGTATCTACGCCTCTGCCAAACGCTCATTAACACATTTTAAGTGTTGTAACCACTTTAATTAGTGTTTTAATTAGGCAGGATATAACCACTGGCTGACAGACCAACCAGCGATCATCACAAAACATACAACCTGACGTCCCACAACCTGACGTCCCACAACCTGACGTCCCACAACCTGACGTCCCAAAACCTGAGGTACCACAACCTGACGTCCTACATACTGACGTCCCACATACTGACGTCCCACAACCTTACGTCCCACATACTGACGTCCTACATTCTGAAGTCCCACATACTGACGTCCCACATACTGACATCCCAGATACTGACGTCCACAACCTGACGTCCCACATACTGACGTCCCACATACTGACGTCCCACAACCTGACGCCCCACATACTGACGTCCCACATACTGACGTCCCACAACCTGACGTCCCACAACCTGACGTCCCACAACCTGACGTCCCACATAATGACGTCCACAACTTGACGTCCCACATACTGACGTCCACAACCTGACGTCCATATCCTAAGGTCACAGATAATGGTGTCCCACACTTTGACGTCTCTGATCATGACGCCCCACCTATTGACACCCCACACCCTGAACTCCCAAATGGTGACAGGAAAGATACCAGACCGAAAACTGCGCAAAAAAAAGCGCATGAGCATTTTTGTTTCCTTATATACTGTATTTAAAGACATCAATAAAAAAGTGATGACATGCACATTGTAGCATAATAAAATATATTTCCACGAAATACAACAAAGTTTAAGTGTATAGTATAATTACTTTTTATTTGCGCATTTTACAGTTTTCTTAGTTTTCAGCTGCACAGTTTTCTGGGAAAGTGCCAAATAAAGATGCCCCGCATCCTGATACACAGATAATGATGCCCCACATCCTGATACATAGATAATGATGCCCCACATCCTGATGTACTTTATCCTTACGTCGTGACAATATCATGAAACTACTCCATTGTTACCTCACGAAAATATAAAACAATTGCCTGGTGGCCTAATAGCCTTATGACCTAGATATAATGCCATAAAAAAAAAAAAAAAAATATATATATATATATATATATATATATATATATATATATATATATATATATATATGAAAAGAGCTTTGTTTTCGGGATCTTAATGAAGTAATCAAATGAGGGACTATAGAGTGAAGTCATAAAGTCGAATCGCGAAGGGACATAATAAATAATAAAGGGACATAATAAAGGGAGAGCCCCATAGAATGGGGACACACTAGTTCTACTAGCGGTGGGCGGGGTCAGCCATCATTAGCAGTGAGTGTATAGATAATGTATTTCGCTACTTGAAATGCCTATAAGAGAAGCAAGAAGTTTCTACAGTGGGAAGTGATGTGTTTTCCACTAATCACAAACTAATGAATGCGGACGGATGTGAAAATGTTGCCGTGACGTGGCATCCAGTAGTTTGGCAGAACGAATCCCGGTACCACTTCTCACATCCGGGTAAACCCCCTGAAAATTTGGATGATTCCTGGAAGTGTTGTTTACCATAAAACTGACCTTGACCTACATGAGCGGCGACGGCACCAACAACACGCTAACCTACACTCAACGAGCCCCCCCCCCATTTGTGTTATCTTCACACATCCGTGCTATCGCCTGCTGTAATATAGCACTCAGCTGACGTGTGCTGCTGGTTCATATTCTGCATCATCCTGACACATCCGTGTTGAGCGTGTAAACACGGAGAGAAAAACACTTTTTTATTTCCTGAAAATTGGTGAGTACACACGTTTTATTTTTAGGGCAAGTAGTTGTCGCTAATGTCTATCTCGTTATTGCCTAAAATCTTCCTGGCATCTTTCTAGACTTACGTGTCTATTCCGATATTGCCTAAATTATTCCTGGTATCTTACTAGACTTATTACATGTCTATTCCGTTATTGCCTAAATTATTCCTTGTATCTTACTAGACTTACTTACATGTCTATTCCGTTATTGCCTAAATTATTCCTTGTATCTTACTAGACTTACTTACATGTCTATTCCGTTATTGCCTAAATTATTCCTTGTATCTTACTAGACTTACTTACATGTCTATTCCGTTATTGCCTAAATTATTCCTTGTATCTTACTAGACTTACTTACATGTCTATTCCGTTATTGCCTAAATTATTCCTTGTATCTTACTAGACTTATTACATGTCTATTCCGTTATTGCCTAAATTATTCCTTGTATCTTACTAGACTTACTTACATGTCTATTCCGTTATTGCCTAAATTATTCCTTGTATCTTACTAGACTTACTAACATGTATATTCCGTTATTGCCTAAATTATTCCTTGTATCTTACTAGACTTACTTACATGTCTATTCCGTTATTGCCTAAATTATTCCTTGTATCTTACTAGACTTACTTACATGTCTATTCCGTTATTTCCTAAATTATTCGTGGCATCTTACTAGACTTATTACATGTCTATTCCGTTATTGCCTAAATTATTCGTGGCATCTTACTAGACTTATTACATGTCTATTCCGTTATTGCCTAAATTATTCCTTGTATCTTACTAGACTTACTTACATGTATATTCCGTTATTGCCTAAATTATTCCTGGTATCTTACTAGACTTATTACACGTCTATTCCGTTATTGCCTAAATTATTCGTGGCATCTTACTAGACTTACTTACATGTCTATTCCGTTATTGCCTAAATTATTCGTGGCATCTTACTAGACTTACTTACATGTCTATTCCGTTATTGCCTAAATTATTCGTGGCATCTTACTAGACTTACTTACATGTCTATTCCGTTATTGCCTAAATTATTCGTGGCATCTTACTAGACTTACTTACATGTCTATTCCCTTAAGCAAACTGACAACTCTAAAGGTCACCCGACTGACCAAAAAGCTATTTAACATTCTTAATGACTGGTGAAGCGAAAACAGGCGAGCACTATAGTTAAAACTGTTAATGCAAAAAATTCTAGCGATTATTGAAATAAACGTAACATAATTCTAATGAATATTATTTGTGATTGTGATGTTGCCCCCCCCCCCCCACCCCTACACAATTCAAAGATGGCGTCAGTTATGGGATGTTTGAAGTCCCCCACCGCCGCTCACCTTCAGCTCCTGATGATGGTCAGCTTGACCTGCCTTGTGTGTACATCAGCTGATGCCGTTAGCTTCAAGGTCACTATACCCGAGCCACGGGTCACTGAGGTCAAAACGGTAGGATTATTTTAAGATTTGGAGAAATACACTCTAATTTACTAGACAGTAGGTCTCATAAATAAAACATTGACCTAGTGCATGTTTAAATACGATTACAAAGTACAGACAGAGCGGAGGAAAAGTAGTTTATGACATGCAGTGGCATAGCGAGGTCGGGTGTCACCCGGTGTGGCACTTAATGGCGTCACCCCCCCCCCCCAGAGGCATAAAGACCCTTCCCAGGGAAAAACTTTCAAATTTTCGATTTGCACCCCCCCCCCTCAAACTTTCGATTTGCACCCCCCCCCCCTCGATTTTTTCTCTATATATTTTGCTATTTTTTGCCTTGGTGTCACCCCGCTAAATGGTGTCACCCGGTGCGGTCTGCACCCTCCGCCCCCCCCCCTCGCTACGCCCCTGATGACATGCATAATTCATATATATATATATATATATATATATATATATATATATATATATATATATATATATATATATATATATATATATATATATATATATATATATATATATATATTGATTTATTTATTTATCTATATATATATTGATTTATTTATTTATCTATATATATATTGATTTATTCATTTATGTATTTATTTATGTATTTATTTATGTATTTTTAATTTAATTATTTATTTATTTATTTATTTGATTAATTATTTATTTGTTTGCTTATTTTTTGTTTGCTTATTTTTTGTTTATTTATTTATATATTTAATTACTTATTAATTAATCAGTTAATTAAGTAATTAATTAACTAATTAATTTATTAATTTATTAATTTATTTATTTATTTATTTTTTAATTTATTTTCTTATTTTTTTATTTTTTTATTTTTTTATTTTTTTAATTTACTATTTTATTTTTTTTTAATTTTTAACTTTTATTTTTATTTATTTTTTTTATTTATTTATCTGTGTTTAAAACATTTTGTGAAAGTGTCGATTGGACCAAGCTATGGACATAGACGTGTGTTTTGAGCAGCACGACAACGGGGAGATAACAATTGTTGACACCGACAAGATGGCCGCTCTACCAGAGGGCACTCAGTGCAAGTTGAAACAGGAGGGAGGGAGTTTAACGGTGGTCTTGTGTGAGGGCAACGACTGGAGGCTCACAGGTAATGTGACGTCATAAGAACATAACTGATATGACGTCATAATATCAAAACTGATAATGTGACGTCATAATATCAAAACTGATAATGTGACGTCATAATATCACTGGCAACATGACGTAATAGAGTGACAGTGCCCCACATTATTACCCCCTTCTTTATTCACCACATATTTTTTTGTACAAGTTGGAAGCCGGGCAATGTAAGAAGGGTCTATAGAATGGTTCAAATAGTCTGGCACAGTACACAAGGAATCTCTAGACATTTTATTGGATAAATATCAGATTGCAGTGTGAGCTTCTCATTTAAAAACAACAAACTGCTGGGTCGAATTTCAACAAGCTAGCGAACACCGAGTATATGTTCAATACATTCTAATAATACGTTTACACACACACACACACACACACACACACATATATATATATATATATATATATATATATATATATATATATATATATATATATATATATATATATATATATATATATATATATATATATATATATATATATATGGTTCCATGACAAATGATCTCAGACAAAATATCTCAGACAAAATATCTCACGGACAAATGATCTCACGGACATATGATCTCACGGACAAAAGATACCAGGACAAAATATATCAGGACAAATGATACCATGGACAAATGATCTCAGACAAAATTATCTCAGACAAAATATCTCACAGCAAAATTTTAATAGTATTTACGATGATTTTAATTGAACTTTTTTTTAATTGATTGTTAATATGGTTTTGTTTACTTTTTTTACGTATAATAATTGTGAATAAAATGAATTAGTGAAACCTAATAAACCATCAAAAGGTGTATTAAGCAATTATTGTAGTAGCATTTGATTTGAAAAAGTAAAAATTAAAACAAAATTACTCTTTTAACCTGAAAGGTATAATAAATGATAATGTATAAAACAAATAAAGTAACGGTCGCTATACAACATTAATGTTCATATCACGCGAAATAGCTTTTTAAAATGTGATTGGGTCTTCAGGTTCGTAACGTTAAACTATTGTTTTTATTACATCATCAACACAAACATAACGTGTAAGTTTCTTTTCTGGTAGGTACTTCGTTATGATCACACCTCTCCAATACTAGGTGATCATCTATTGTGTGAACTTTTGCTCGACATGTCTTAATTTCACATTTCCAAATCTCTTTGCCTGCTTATGGCAAACATAAATTCACCAGAAACTAATGTCCTAGAACCTTTCTGCTAGGTAACTAAAGAGACCATAGCAACGCAATCACCATTAATACTGCTTTGTTTGATGCACACTACGACATACTTAGCTCCGCGATGACCGCTGTCGTTTAAATAAGCATTAGTCACCTGATCACTAAGGTGTGACCGACGCATAACAATGGACTTTATATGCTAGTCGTATTGTCCATGGAGGGCGGATGTCTTTCCCTTAAGGCATGTCTCTACCATCAAAGCGGGCTACCACCTTGATACGAAGGTGTTTCTCTATTGTTATTTCATCCTCTTTGATCTAGTTTCGTTCACCTGACATGGTAGGATTGTCTCATGTTTGTCAAGCACAACTACGCTGTCTTTCGAAATTATTTCTTTAATCTTTTTATACTATATTACTAATACTAACCTTAAAATCTTTAGTGCAATATGACAAATTTATATGGCAAACATTTCTTACAATTATTATATAGGCCTATAAACAATATTAAACATACTAAACAAAACCATATGACAGTCAATAAAAAAAAATTTCAGATCAATTAAAATCATCCAATACACTATTAAAAGTTAGGAGTGAGATATTTTGTCTGAGATATTTTGTCTGAGATCAATTGTCCGTGGTATCATTTGTCTTGATATATTTTGTCCTGGTATCTTTTGTCCGTGAGATCATTTGTCCTGAGATCATTTGTCCGTGAGATATTTTGTCTGAGATATTTTGTCTGAGATCATTCGTCCATGGTATCATTTGTCCTGATATATTTTGTCCTGGTATCTTTTGTCCGTGAGATCATTTGTCCTGAGATCATTTGTCCGTGAGATATTTTGTCTGAGATATTTTGTCTGAGATCATTTGTCCTGTCACCATATATATATATATATATATATATATATATATATATATATATATATATATATATATATATATATATATATATATATATATATATATATATATATATATATATATATATATATATATATATATATATATATATATATATATATATATATATATAAATAATGAATTGGTTAGTGGAGTTAACTACGGTTTCAAACTCAACAGTGTAGAGAATGTTAACAAAATTCACATTTTCTTTCAGTCCTTCATGGGAAGTCGACTTTACCGATGGAGAGACGTAGGAGATTTATTGGAGCAATCATTTTTTTTGTTGCTGTTGCTGCTTTAGCTCTGTGCGCCGCTTTCTGTTTTCGTAGGTGGAACATTTCTTACAACCACAACTGTAAATTTAATTTAAACCAACATTGTTGAAGCCGCACTTTACTTCCTCTGGCGTTACTAAGGTACCCATTAGAGCTGGGTGGACTCAGGGACGTCCTACGGCACTAGAGTCCATGTTCAGAGCCCATGAATTTAGGAAAATCAATCTAGCACTCAACCATTCAAACATGCCGTACTATTGTTTTTCTATGAAACTGTGAAAACAATTGGAATCCGCATGTTTCTACATGACATCTACATGACATCTACATGACATCTACATCTTTCTACATGACATCTGCATGTTTCTACATGACATCTGCATGTTAATAAATGACGTCTGCATGTTTCTACATGACTTACACATGTTTCTACATGACATCTAGATGTTTCTACATGACATCTACATGTTTCTACATGACATCTGGATGTTTCTACATGACATCTACATGTTTCTACATGACATATACATGTCTCTACATGACATCTACATGTTTCTACATGACATCTAGATGTTTCTACATGACATAAACATGTTTCTACATGACATCTACATCTTTCTACCTGACAGGAAACAAGGCACCACGGCTGACGTGTGCGAGAATCAATGACGTCACCGCCAACAGACTTGAAACGACCGCTGTAGTGACGTGGGAGGTGCCGACAGCAGACGACCCGGAGGACGGCAGACTTGTGTAAGTTCTGGTGACGTCATCACACAACGATGACGTCACAACAGTCACAACTAAATGACGTTTGATTGACAGATTAAAACCCACATTTCGTCAGCAGTTCTTTGCTAGCCAGAGATAGAAAGTTTCTTCACAAACTGCCCTCTAATTGTTCATCTACCACTATCACTTTTTAGCGCAATTTCCTTACAGGAATTGCGATTATTAACTCGTCATTTCTGGATGGATGTGTGTCCGCAGCTTTAAGTCGTATCTCCTCCTCAACAAAGCAATATCGAGGACTAGTTCCAAAAGCAAATATGTTAAGCAAGTTCCGAAGATGATTGTGGGCCAAAAAAATTCCCGGAATTCCTTCCTGGATTTCCCGGAAAAGCCAAAAACCTCGAAAAAAAATGCAGTTTTTGGCCCATATCTCGGCAACCAGACCACTTAGCGACTTGAAACATTTACCAATCGATTTCTGCCATAATTTAGAACAATATAGCCGAAGGTGAAAGTTTTCAAAAATATCCTTTCGTTCGGTCACAAAAAATTAATTAAGGAAATTGCGCTTAAATTGTCACTAGACTTTTTATTAACTTGTTTTAAATTTACCCTCCAAAAATATCTCGCAGACCCACACGGACGAATGGGAACAGCCCAGGGTCAAGGTTCCCTGAGGGGTCTCACACAATCACGTACAAGGCCACGGACCGTAAGGGGTCAGCCGTTACATGTCAGATGACATTTCATGTCAAAGGTCAGGAAACTCAGTGTATAACTTTCGCATGTCTTTTGAATATTAATGAATCAAAATACGAAATTACGTGACGTCTGCAATAGTATATAGAGAAAACATCACAGATAATTCATCCGTATTTGATTAAATGTTCATGTATTGTTCTTGAGAGTATGCAAAACATAACCAAATGAACACATGAAAGTGGTTGCCAGTGTTAAACTCAACAAATGAAATCATTTAAAAATATCTTTTGTCGTAAAAGTTCGCCGGTGTCCCATGGTCAACACGAACCGACTGGACCACGGCACCACGACATGCTGGCCTGAGGTCGACCCTAACATCTACGGCAGCCAGTGTTCCTACACGTGTGGGCAGGGGTTTGAGTTGGTGGGAGCCACGTCATCAGTTTGTGAGAGTAACGAGAGATGGAGCAACCCTTGGCCCAGTTGTCAGTGTAGGTACACACACACACACATACACATAGACATACAGAGACACACACACAAACATTCAGCCCAGATGTCAGTGTAGGTACACAGACACACACAGACACACACAGACACACACACAGACACACAGACGCACACACACACAGACACACACAGCCACACACACAGACACAGACACACAGACACACAGACACACAGACACACACAAACACACACACATACACACACAGACACACACACAGACACACACAGACACACACACACACAAACATTCAGCCCAGATGTCAGTGTAGGTACACACACACAGACACACACAGACACACAGACACACACACACACACAGACACAGACACACACATACACATACACACACAGACACATACAGAAACACACATACACATACACACACAGACACACACACAGACACACACATACACATACACACAGAGACACACATACAGAGACACACACATACACACAAACATTCAGCCCAGTTGTATATGTAGGTACTGGTTTTGAAACACAAAGAGCCCAAAAAACGACAAGGACAGAGATTGAGACTTGACAGACAGGCGGAGATAGGGACAGATATCGACAGAGAGAGAGAGACATAGACAGACAAACGACCCAACACTACACTACACTATAACACCCTATCCTCCCCTCCCCTACCCTGCCGTTTCCTACCCTACCCTACCCTACCCTGCCGTTTCCTACCCTACCCTACCCTACCCTACCCTACCCTACCCTACCCTACCCTACCCTACGCTACCCTACCCTACCCTACCCTACCCTACCCTACCCTACCCTACCCTACCCTACCCTACCCTACCCTACCCTACCCTACCCTACGCTACGCTACGCTACCCTACCCTACCCTACCCTACCCTACCCTACCCTACCCTACGCTACGCTACGCTACGCTACCCTACCCTACGCTACGCTACGCTACCCTACCCTACCCTACCCTCCCCTACCCTACCCTACCCTACCCTACCCTACCCTACCATACCCTACCCTAACCTACCCTACGCTCTGCTCTAGATATTTGATCACGTGTCACACAACTAATTTAATTATCTCCTCCCACTCCACCCAGTGATTACCTGCCCGCCCCCAACAACTACCAACGGCAACTTCGACTGCCCGTCCTTCGACTACCAGTCCACGTGTGTGCTGACGTGTGATGACGGCTACCAGACACGGGGCGACACACAGGTCACGTGTCAGGCTGACAAAACCTGGTCCAGACACGAGCAATGTCAAGGTGAGACATTCTAGAACAATCTTCAGGTGAGATATTCTAGAACAATCTTCAGGTGAGAGGTTCTAGAACAATCTTCAGGTGAGACATTCTAGAACAATCTTCAAATTTAGAGATTCTAGAACAATCTTCAGGTGAGAGATTCTAGAACAATCTTAGGTGAGAGATTCTAGAACAATCTTCAGGTGAGACATTCTAGAACAATCTTCAGGTGAGAGATTCTAGAACAATCTTCAGGTGAGACATTCTAGAACAATCTTCAGGTGAGAGATTCTAGAACAATCTTCAGGTGAGACATTCTAGAACAATCTTCAGGTGAGAGATTCTAGAACAATCTTCAGGTGAGACATTCTAGAACAATCTTCAGGTGAGACATTCTAGAACAATCTTAGGTGAGAGATTCTAGAACAATCTTCAGGTGAGAGATTCTAGAACAATCTTCGGGTGAGAGGTTCTAGAACAATCTTCAGGTGAGAGATTCTAGAACAATCTTCAGGTGAGAGGTTCTAGAACAATCTTCAGGTGAGAGATTCTAGAACAATCTTCAGGTGAGAGGTTCTAGAACAATCTTCAGGTGAGAGATTCTAGAACTTTCTATTGTATGGTTACAATAATATTTTACCCTACTTATAATTTTTTGGATCAGCTGCATGTTTCTACGACATCAAACTGATACTCAGATTTGCCATGTTAAAAAATTGACTAACTCGCTAATAGTGCAATCTATTTCAAATGATGTATTGTTTGCTAGTTTTGTTTTCTCCAAAGTCCAATGGAATTTTTCTTTTTGTTGACAACAATTTGCTTTCTTTTTTAAATATACAGATGCTTCACCCCCACAAATAACCTGTCAACCCCTGATGGAGACTTTCGCTGGTCCAAAACGTAGCCCCACCCCCGTGACATGGGTCATCCCATCTGTCAGTGACAACTCCGGTGTCAGTCTGACAGTGTCAAGTGACGTAGCGTCGGGCAGCAAGTTCCCCGCTGGACGTCACACGGTGACGTTTACAGCCACGGATGACGCGAGGAACTCGGGAACATGCAAGATGGAGGTCAGCGTCCAAAGTGAGACTTGTTCTAATTTTATTCTCCTGGTGAAAGTACGGCCGTTGTCCACACTTTGTGCCTGCAGTCAAATCTTTCCTCTCTGCTCTAGTCATCTTCTGCCCTGAGTACCTACAACCCAATTTCTCTCTGCCCTAGTCATCTTCTGCCCTGAGTACCTACAACCCAAGTTATCTCTGCCCGAGTCATCTTATGCCCTGAGTACCTACAACCCAATTTCTCTCTGCCCTAGTCATCTTCTGCCCTGAGTACCTACAACCCAAGTTATCTCTGCCCGAGTCATCTTATGCCCTGAGTACCTACAACCCAATTTCTCTCTGCCCTAGTCATCTTCTGCCCTGAGTACCTACAACCCAATTTCTCTCTGCCCTAGTCATCTTCTGCCCTGAGTACCTACAACCAAACGATTCTGATGTGTCCTGCTCTCATGGAAACGAGTACGGGTCAGAATGTGTAACAACGTGCCACCAAGGCTACGAGTTGGCCAACCCGGCAAGTGGCAGACAAGAATGCCAGGAAAACCGTACCTGGAGCGGCGATGTGCCAGTTTGTGTCCGTAAGTTTTTTATTTTTATTTTGTGTGTGATCATAACAGCCTTAAATAGCCGAATAACCGGCTGTCTTATAAAATATAACTTTTCAATAATAATTAGAAGCAACAAGTTTACGTGTTTTGTTTTTAGTTTATACAAGTACTAGGAGGTTGAGCTACAAACACTTAAAAATATATTTTTAAAATATTTCTTCTGTAATATTTTATGAAATGTCTTCTATATTTCAAATTTAAATGATTTTTAAGGTTTAATTTTTGCAAATATATATTTAAAATGTAATCAAAGTTAATAAAGCCGAACTTTCTCTACGAATATTTTCTTACGTATCATTTCAGCACGCTCATGCGCCCCTCCCCCTGACATCCTTCAGGGTAATTTTACCTGCCCACTAGGACATACCTTCAAACAGATGTGCCACCTACAGTGTAACCATGGTTACCAAATCACCGGACCGTCAAATATTACATGTGGCGTCACGGTCCAGTGGTCACAGCATGGACACTGTTTAGGTAATGTTTATAAGATAGTTTGACGTCGGTTAAACGAAAACATTCTTAAATCGGTAAAGTGCAACTGCTCGTTTCATCCTCTATGATGGCTGGGGTGATGAATCCATTTCCCGACACGTCTAGCGTAATTATACAATAACTCTCAAATAATACACACTTTTGAAATAAATTACCTCCCCTTGAGTGATCGCCACTGAGTGATCAATAAATGACCTTCCCTAGACGTGAGCTTCCCTCTATAATACAATAAATGATCTCCCCTAGATGTAAGCACCCCTCTATAATACAATAAATTATCTCCCCTAGATGTGAGCACCCCTCTATAATACAATAAATTATCTCCCCTAGATGTGAGCACCCCTCTATAATACAATAAATTATCTCCACTAGATGTGAGCACCCCTCTATAATTCAATAAATATCTCCCCTAGATGTAAGCACCCCTCAATAATACAATAAATTATCTCCCCTAGATGTAAGCACCCCTCTATAATACAATAAATTATCTCCACTAGATGTGAGCACCCCTCTATAATTCAATAAATATCTCCCCTAGATGTAAGCACCCCTCAATAATACAATAAATTATCTCCCCTAGATGTAAGCACCCCTCTATAATTCAATAAATTATCTCCCCTAGATGTGAGCACCCCTCTTTAATTCAATAAATATCTCCCCTAGATGTAAGCACCCCTCAATAATACAATAAATTATCTCCCCTAGATGTAAGCACCCCTCTATAATTCAATAAATTATCTCCCCTAGATGTGAGCACCCCTCTATAATACAATAAATTATCTCCACTAGATGTGAGCGCCCTTCTATAATTCAATAAATTATCTCCCCTAGATGTGAGCGCCCTTCTATAATTTAATAAATTATCTCCCCTAGATGTGAGCGCCCTTCTATAATTTAATAAATTATCTCCACTAGATGTGAGCACCCTTCTATAATTTAATAAATTATCTCCACTAGATGTGAGCGCCCTTCTATAATTTAATAAATTATCTCCCCTAGATGTGAGCGCCCTTCTATAATTTAATAAATTATCTCCACTAGATGTGAGCACCCCTCTATAATTTAATAAATTATCTCCACTAGATGTGAGCGCCCTTCTATAATTTAATAAATTATCTCCCCTAGATGTGAGCGCCCTTCTATAATTTAATAAATTATCTCCACTAGATGTGAGCACCCTTCTATAATTTAATAAATTATCTCCACTAGATGTGAGCGCCCTTCTATAATTTAATAAATTATCTCCCCTAGATGTGAGCGCCCTTCTATAATTTAATAAATTATCTCCACTAGATGTGAGCACCCTTCTATAATTTAATAAATTATCTCCACTAGATGTGAGCGCCCTTCTATAATTTAATAAATTATCTCCACTAGATGTGAGCGCCCTTCTATAATTTAATAAATTATCTCCACTAGATGTGAGCACCCTTCTATAATTTAATAAATTATCTCCACTAGATGTGAGCGCCCTTCTATAATTTAATAAATTATCTCCACTAGATGTGAGCACCCTTCTATAATTTAATAAATTATCTCCACTAGATGTGAGCACCCTTCTATAATTTAATAAATTATCTCCCCTAGATGTGAGCACCCCTCTTTAATTCAATAAATATCTCCCCTAGATGTAAGCACCCCTCAATAATACAATAAATTATCTCCCCTAGATGTAAGCACCCCTCAATAATACAATAAATGATCTCCCCTAGATGTGAGCACCCCTCTATAATTAAATAAATGATCTCCCCTAGATGTGAGTGCCCCTCTATAATTAAATAAATGATCTCCCCTAGATGTGAGTGCCCCTCTATAATTAAATAAATTATCTCCCCTAGATGCGAGCGCCCCTTCATAATTCAATAAATTATCTCCCTTAGAGGTGAGCGCCCCTTCATAATTCAATAAATTATCTCCCCTAGATGTGAGCGCCCCTCTATAATTCAATAAATGATCCCCCCTAGATGTGAGCGCCCCCTACTTCCCTGCCGGCTGCACTGACCAGATGAAAGTGGAGGCTGCAAGTCTAGGAGAGCCGACCTACGTCATCTACCAGCTACCGGAAGTTGAGGACAACTCTGGGATGAAGGTCACAGTTACAGGCGACCCTGTGTCAGGGTCCAGCTTCAGTCTGGGCACAACGGAAGTGACCGTCACGGCCACTGACCTTGAGGGAAACAGCGACAACTGCAGCTTCAGCGTTCTTGTCGAGTGTAAGCTTCGCGTTATTTTTTTTTTCAAAGGAGTTTGGTTGTGTTTCTCACGTGTTTATTCCGACTTTTAGTAGAGAATTCAAAAACTCATTTGAAACGTAAAGTTTAAAGAGAAACGAAAATTTCTCAAAGTAAAGATTTTTTTAAATTGATTTTTTTTTTGGATTATATCCGTTACCTCAATCTCAAACAACCTAGATTTGTAATAAAGTATAATCGTGTTTAGAAACACAGGTAATAAAAATTAAAAAAAAACAATGAAAAAAACAACAACCACATTTTCCTGTTCCAGATGTGTATTGCAAGCCACCTTCCATTGACCTGTCCGGTAAGAATTTAATCCAGTACACCTGCCCTGACCGTCACGTGATGGGGGCCAGCTGTGGTCTATCTTGTCAGGACGGGAACCCGGTCTTTGGTGCCAGCTCCATCAGGTGCCAGAGAGACACGGACGGAAATCTTACCTGGGCGTGGTCAGGTACTACCAGACCTTACTGTGACGGTAAGTGGGTCAAGGTCACATGATAACAGGTCACGTGTGTAGTGTTTATTTTATTTATTGTATCACTTTTGTTATCTTTTTAGACCTTAAACTTGAAGCCTATATATATATATATATATATATATATATATATATATATATATATATATATATGTGTGTGTGTGTGTGTGTATAAATTATATATATACATATATATATATGCATATATATATATATATATATATATATATATATATATATATATATATATATATATATATATATATATATATATATATATATATATATATATATATATATATATATATATATAACTATACACACACACACACACATATATATATATATATATATATATATATATATATGTGTGTGTGTGTGTGTATAAATTATATATATAGGCTACATATATATATGCATATATATATATATATATATATATATATATATATATATATATATATATATATATATATGTGTGTGTGTGTGTATAAATTATATATATAGGCTACATATATATATGCATATATATATATATATATATATATATATATATATATATATATATATATATATATATATATATATATATATATATATATATATATATATATATATTGAAAACTGTAGCCAAAGCCTGCACGAAGCTGAAGAGCCCCAGGAACGGGGCTCTGAGCTGTCAAAGTCTGGCCACAGGTGAGGTGTGTTACCTGAGCTGCCACGCCAACACCACCTACCATGCCGGTGCCCCTGAGTCTTACAGGTGTCTCGCCTCCACGGGGGAGTGGAAGCCCCAAAAATTTGTCCCTGACTGTAAAGGTGAGTTGGTTATGTTGATTGTAATTTTCAATTTGGTTCAAGCGGTCCCAGCAATTCTTAGAGTTCTTGCTTGGTGCGACTGGAATATGGGGAGCTTGTTCTGCCTAGCTAGGGTCAGGTCGTTAATAGACACACGTGAATTGACGAGAATCTTTCCACGTTAATGGACACACGTGAATTGACGTGAATCTTTCCACGTTAATGGACACACGTGAATTGACGAGAATCTTTCCACGTTAATGGACACACGTGAATTGACGAGAATCTTTCCATCATATTGTTGGCATGGATAAAATGTGTGTTGTTTTTTTTTTTATATTTTGACTTCATAGCGGCCATAAAAATAATGAAAAAATACAAACTTAAACCTTAACAATAATTAAGAAATTTAATATTTTTTTAAATCAATGTTTGAAAATATCTCATTTTTAAGGCTACATTTGTATTTATTTTCATCTAGCCTAAGTTATAACCGGATGTTTCACTTTCCTATGACAAAAATTGATTGGTTCTACAGGAACTCCGTGATCGATAGTTATTTGTTTACAAAACTTTGCAATTTTTAAATAACATAATGCTATTTTAAACCACATGACCTAGTTCGGAAAACAAATTGCTTATCCTTTTTTACTTTCTCGTATATACGAAGTATAGAGAAAGTCTTGAAATCGTGCAAAAAGAAAATCGAGACTTTTACAAATCTCGACGTTTTACACCTCACTGATACGGAAAAACATAATTTTGCAATCTTGTCCGTATGTCTGTGTGTGTGTGTGTGTGTGTAAACACGATAACTTGAGTACCGTTACAGCTAGGTTGATGAAATTTCATATATAAGTATTTTATCAAAATCGTAGATCCGTTTCAACTTTTGAGCGATTTCCGATAAACGGAAGTGGTACTTTTTCTACATTGAATTTTTCAAAAGCATATAACTTGAGTATTATTTCAGATAGATAAATGAAATTTCACATGTAAGTAAAAGATCTAATTCTCTACCTTCTGTCAAATTTTGAGCAATTTCCTTTGACCGGAAGTACTAATTTACGCTATTTCCGATTTCTCAAAAAAACGTATGTAAATTTATAAAGTACTAATAATATTGCGCACTATTATGCACTTTTTGTTTTGGCGTTCGCTTGGTGCGCAATTCTTTTTTCTACTAGATTTTATTATATTTTTAAAAGTTTAAGTAAACAAAAATCATGTCTATATTCCGAGTTGCCATCCCACGTAGTGTTATATTAGAATATTCGAGTAAGTTTAGGGGAGATCACTCTCGGTTTATTTCTAGACAATATCACACATTTTTTGACAGTTAAATAAAGATTTCATTTCATTTTTTTCCAAACAAACGGGCATGTAACTTTTGTAAAATAGTGAAACTAACAGCAAAATTAAAAGTGTGTATTTACCTGTAGGTGTAGTTGGGTTTGTGTCTGCCAATACAGAGCTTTTGTGTACTCACTAATTTTATCGACAGCTGGAATAGCATATTCCGGTGCGAGGGTGGAGACGGAGTTCACGTACTTCACGAGTTCATGTGACGTCACTAACGAGGAGATTAAACAACTTTTTCTCTCACGGCTCAACAAGAGCGGGCTGATGAGCGAGTGTGCCGAGTCTGGCTGTAAGCTGTCTGACATCCGGGTCACGTGTGGTCACGGCACTGGCAGGAACAGGGGGAGGAGAGATGCCACATCTGTCATGTACCAGGTGGGGGCGTGTCCATCATTGCGACACATCTGGCTTAACATGGCGTTTTTTGTCAATGTTTTTTTTACACTAGTGTAGCTTCAAATTTATTTTAAAATATGAAGTAATAATTGACCATAAGTAACCAACATGTAATTGACCATATGTAACCAGCATGTAATTGACCATATGTAATCCACATGTAATTTACCGTATGTAACTAGCTTGTAATTGACCATATGTAATCAACATGTAATTGACCATGTGTAACCAGCATGTAACTGGCCTTATGTAACCAACAGATTACCGTGACCATCGACCTTGGACTACCTGGCGAAGAAACAGAGCCTTCAGAAACGTTAAACCACTACCAGAACTTGGTGAATTCACTAGACGAGACACTGTACGATCTAGAAGGTTCGGGCCAGTTCCAGATCCCAGAGATAGGAGAGTACCAGAGTTTTGCCTCCAGTGGCGTCACGTACGTCTGCCAACAGCCGGGTACAAAGTTCATCTACTCCACAACGTTCTGTGGTGAGTGGGAAGGTTTCTGTCCTTCGTTACTCATGACTGACTAGCCCCAGAAATATTCTAAAGCCAGATGATCATACAGATACTAAACCGCACTCATCACACACACACACACAATCATCAATCACAAACACACACACAAGCACTCATAACTCACACACACGCACACATACAGACGAATTACTAAGTGTTACAGCCCCCCCCCCTCTTACCGGTCCCTGGTACTCCTCTAGTTAGTTTCAATACGTATATTGTGTCTTGCTTAGATCTATTTCTGCACTTCGATATTAAGTCATTTATTTCAAGTGCTAACAATGCAAGATTCTACAACCAGATTGTTGATAAACTGTAATGTCCGGATTTTTTTCAGCTGGGTGTGGTCCTGGCCACATGTACGACAACACAACCAACAGCTGTAGAGTTTGTCCTAAAGACACATACCAGGACCAGGACATTTCCTTCAGCTGTACACCATGTCCTAACAATACAGTGACACAAGCTGAGATGGCCACGTCAGAAGCTCTGTGTTTGGGTACGGTCAGCTCTTCATGTGAGCGGCTGGAGTGTATTTTTATTATTTGTAACTTAGAAGGCGAATGTATCGTTTCGTTTCATGTCGTAAATTGTTCGTATTTTTTAGTTGTGTAGTCCCGTATTATGGCGCCGCTGTCTCACTGTTTATGTCCCTGGTTATAGCTAGTTTATATATATTTCGTTTATATTGTTGTCATTGTTTATAGTAAGTGTCTTTTTATAATATTCTGTTGCATGTTTCGTCGTGTTTGGTTTGTTATCCGTGAATTAGGGACTATTTGTTTACGTGTAGCGTGTGAGGTGTGTGGAAGTCGGGTTCCGGCTTGTTCAACTCTGTCTTTTGTGTGTAAAGCTGCGGTGAAGGGAGCAGGCAGTCTCTCTGGTCATCGGGTGAAAAGAATAGCAAATTCGCACCATCCAGCCATATTTATTTTGTGTTTGTGTTCGTCGTAGTCCTGGACGTAGTCCGAAATTGGGTGTTTTGTTTGATGTAAAAAGTTTGTTTCGTTTGGTTCTGTTTTGTCAGTTTTTATCTGTTCTTTTTTTATAACTTTTGGTTCCATGCAATAAATTTTATTAAATTGTTAAAAGTTTTGTTTTATTTTAGTAGCTTATTATTTAGACTAAGGTTAGGGTTTAACCACTGTGGGTTCTACCACGGTTGCACTGACCGGACAGATTAGTTAGTTAAGCCTAGAAGGGTAGATTTTAAGGTATCCCCCCCTAGCAGGGCTTACAAATTGGTAGCACGAGTGGGGTCAGTGCTTTAGTCTAGTTAAATTTTTGTTTTTTTGCTAGGGCTAGGTGTAGCTTAGTTAAATTTTTTTGTTTTGATAGGCCCTTTATGGAACCATATGTGTTTAGTTTTTGTTTAGCGTAGGAATTGTTTGTAGTCTTAACACCCAATTCGGACGAGATGGCGGAGGTGGCACAAACCATCAGCATCGTTCCACCCAGGGAGATCCTCATCCGGAAGTTTCATGGGGACAGCCACGGCTATGAGGTGGAACGATTCATTGACGAGGTCCAGTCTCTCTGGAGGGCCAGAAGAGACGTCTCAGTGGAAGAGAGGAAGGACCTTCTCTGGCAGTACCTGGGGGAAGCTGTGAGAGAAGAACTGAGCTGCAGGGGAGATGACCTGCAACGTGACCCAGAGGCCTCCATCAGGCTCCTCCGAGAAGTCTATGGGGAGAAGAGGAGCGTCTCCCAGCTAATGGCGCAACTCCAAATGGTTGTGCAGGGCCAACACGAGTCGGTGAGGGCCTACTCGCACCGCCTGCACAGGGCCTTCAAGGCCCTTGTTGCCCGACAGGGCACCCTGCAGGTCCCTCAGACGAATGCTGAGTTCCTAAGGGACCAGTTTATGGAAAAGCTGAGCCAGTCCTCAGTCAGACGTCAGTTGCAAGAACTAGTTTTCAGGGACCCTAAGATCCCCTTCCTGGCCATACGGGATGCGGCCATTCGATGGTCTGGAGACGAGGACCCAGGGACAGAACCTGCCTATGTGGCAGCTCTACATGCCCGCCCCAAGGAAGAACCCACCCTGCCCAGGTCTAAGCTGGAAGACAGGGTGGACAAGCTCGCAGAGCAGCTATCGGCACTGTTGACTCAGTTGGCACAGAACCCTCAAGTGTCATCTAGCCGAAGGGTACCCCGCCGACGTCCAGAGGCGGAAACAAGAATGTGTTACAATTGTAACCAGCAAGGTCACCTCGCCCGCAATTGTCGAAACTCAAAGAAGCAGGAGGCCGCAGTGATTCAGAGTCTTACTACTGCTGGTGGGCAGAGCCTAAGCTCCACCATTCACAAGCTGGCTGGACAGTGCCCCACCCTGACTGTGTATTTACAAGGTGTACCGGTGACGGCCGTTATAGACAGTGGTTCACAAGTCAGCACGGTCACTGAAACATTTTGTAACAGGAGCCTCAAGAACATTATCCTAAGAACAGACACACCCCTGTCCTTGAGGGCAGCAAATGGGTTGGCCATCCCATACAATGGCTATTTTATTACTGACCTGGAGGTCAATAAGGAAGAAATACGCGACAAGGGGTTCCTTGTGATAAAGGATCCAGTGGGTGGCTCAGCTCCACCCTGCTTGTTGGGCATGAACGTTCTCCAGGACCTGACCACATTGGCCCACCTGATCAAGCCTCCAGGGGTGACACCGAAGGTATGGCGAGGGGACAAGGTCCTCCGCCCCCACGAAAGGACTCTGGTGCCTGCCAAGAGTGTACCAACCATTCAGGCGACGAAAGGAGACCCCAGAATGAAGGACGACAAGGTGGTACAGCCATTAGACCAACCTTTTCACCCAGATCCGTCAGTGGTATCAGGCCCAACCTCCTGCCTACGCGCCAGCATAACCAGTATAAAGGTGGATCAATCTGAGGAACTAGAGGCAATGGGTCCACCTAACCCATCCTTAATTAAGGCACCGGGTGGTGGTGCTGGGGAATGCCCCCAGACAGAGTCAAACAAGAAGGACAAGCAGGTCAAAAAAACACATGTAGCTGAACTGGCCATAGGCGATCTGGTCCTTCTGAGACAACCCCCACTAGGCAGACGCAAAATGGCAGACCTGGACGACCCGACAGTTTATGTCGTGGTCGAAGTACCTCCGATCACCGGCGGGTGTTACGCCATTAAAAAGAAAGATGGCCCTTCTGGCACCCGCCGGGTGGCAAGCACCCAGATTACCAGATATGTGCCTCCCAGGGCTCAACCACCCTCCCCAAGGCCGGTCAAAGTGATACCGCCGGCTACTCCAGGCTACAGCCACATAATTTATAAGGTCCAATTGCCGGGGACCAGAGCAGCCGGTAACCCCACAGTACCTGACATACCTCTGCGTAGGTCGGTCAGGGAGCGCAGAGTCCCTAGTAGGCTAGACTTGTGATTGTGCCCTGTGGGCTGATTTTTTTGCAAGTTCTTTTGCAAAGTTTTGTTTTTTGTAACATGTATGATTATGCCCTGTGGGCTGATTTTCTGGCAAAGATTGTTTTTTTGTAAAATTTATGATTGTGCCCGGTGGGCTGATTTTTTTGCAAGTTCTTCCTGCAAAGTTTTTTGTAACATTTATGATTATGCCCTGTGGGCTGTTTTTTTCAAGTTTGTTAGCTTGCGGTGACCGCAAGCTTTAGGGGGCGTGTATGTGAGCGGCTGGAGTGTATTTTTATTATTTGTAACTTAGAAGGCGAATGTATCGTTTCGTTTCATGTCGTAAATTGTTCGTATTTTTTAGTTGTGTAGTCCCGTATTATGGCGCCGCTGTCTCACTGTTTATGTCCCTGGTTATAGCTAGTTTATATATATTTCGTTTATATTGTTGTCATTGTTTATAGTAAGTGTCTTTTTATAATATTCTGTTGCATGTTTCGTCGTGTTTGGTTTGTTATCCGTGAATTAGGGACTATTTGTTTACGTGTAGCGTGTGAGGTGTGTGGAAGTCGGGTTCCGGCTTGTTCAACTCTGTTTTTTTGTGTGTAAAGCTGCGGTGAAGGGAGCAGGCAGTCTCTCTGGTCATCGGGTGAAAAGAATAGCAAATTCGCACCATCCAGCCATATTTATTTTGTGTTTGTGTTCGTCGTAGTCCTGGACGTAGTCCGAAATTGGGTGTTTTGTTTGATGTAAAAAGTTTGTTTCGTTTGGTTCTGTTTTGTCAGTTTTTATCTGTTCTTTTTTTATAACTTTTGGTTCCATGCAATAAATTTTATTAAATTGTTAAAAGTTTTGTTTTATTTTAGTAGCTTATTATTTAGACTAAGGTTAGGGTTTAACCACTGTGGGTTCTACCACGGTTGCACTGACCGGACAGATTAGTTAGTTAAGCCTAGAAGGGTAGATTTTAAGGTATCCCCCCCTAGCAGGGCTTACATTCACTTAGCCGTTAACCAAATAACGTACTGTCTATTCCCACATTTTCTGTTACAAAACTATTTTTTACAGACCTCTGTAGACCTGGCCAGTTTTCCCACAATGGAATCCAGGCGTGTGACCCTTGCCCAGTTGGCTCGTACCAATCCAAATATGGGATGACGTCATGTGACCTCTGTCCGTACAGCATGTCCACCGTTGCTATGGGAACGACCAGCGTTGATGAGTGTTTGTGTGAGTAACCAACGAGCCAACGTCCTGGAGTCTAGGAGACCGTCATGTGACCTTGACTCTGCCTCTAGTTTGAGAGTCTCTGTTGTTTCATTTTTTTCAGTTTAAGACTTCTAAATACCTGAATATTTTAGGAATTAAAGGAATAAGTAGTACTGATATTTTATTTTCAATTTATTCATAAGCAAGTTTTTAAAATTTCTTTTTGTCGTTTCAAATTTTCCTCCAGTTTTCAACACCCGACTTAGCGAGACCACCTCCCAGGCAGCCATACAAATATTTGACAAAATTCCAACGACCTTCACCTTCATGACCTGGGTCACCTCGGCCTCGACACTTATGACGTCATCATTGACCTTCTCACTGGGGTCAGACCAGGACAACTCTACTGCAGCATTTTTAGCCCTGGACAAAATAATTCTAGCCATACATGAACAGAGGGACATTGGAGGGTTGAAAGTTATCAGGTGGGAGAATAAACAAACGAAACCTCAACCGTTTTTACAATGACAGCAGTTAATCTAGACTATACTATTTACTTGTAATTTTCAATAAACTAAGAAATCTTCTAGTAATTATATAATAATGTATTTTAAATGACTGTAATAATTTTCAGTTATAAAGCATTTCTATATTTTATTGTTTTTCTTTTTGAAATATTGCTCAAATTTCTTCGATACTTGATTTGTCAAATTTCTTCCATACTTGATTTTTCTTTGAAACATCCGCTGATAGAAAATGGAACCATATAGCCGTCTGCTACACGTCTGGCACCGTCTACCTGTATGTCAACGGTTTTCTAACCGACGAGAGGTCAGGTTTGCACGTGACGGATTTGTTCCAGAAGTCTCTCACTTTTGGCAGGTCAAACCAAGATGGTGTTAACGGTAGGTTTTATGGGTTGGAGGTTTTAGAAGATTTCGTCAGACTAGTAGGTTTCAAATGTTGTCGTCAATTGTAGGTAATATATACATATAAGGCCGATATTTCTTATTGGTGAATGGCTTTAATAGTTTACCTAAAAGGATGATGTAAATGCTTTGTAAATCAAAATGTAACGTAAATGCAGATTTCAATTTTATAAATGTTGAAAACGAGGTCGTGTTAGTGTGTTTGTTACAATAACGTTCAAACGATAACAAGCAACATTCAAACGATAACAAGCAACATGTGTGTCCACAGCTGTGGTAGTGAGTGGCCTCCAGCTGACCACCAGCTTCTACACAGAGCTCCAGCTCCGAGAGTTGGCCACTTCCTGTCACAAGAAGGTCAAGACAAATCTACTGGCCAGAAAACCTTGGGAGTTTCTTGCCCTTTCTCCCAGCACGTGCAATGGTAAGTAAATACAAAGTGTATTTCAGAGCTGATTCCTCAAGAGCAAAAGGGCTTAGTTCCTCTTGTTAAATCTCGGGAAAAGACTTTACCCAATTTAAGTCAGGTACCCACTAGAGCTGATTTGGCTTAGGGGACCAAATGTTTTTAGCACGCGGACCGAACTTGAGACACTACAGCTTGCAGGTACATGCTTTTCCACAAAACCTCACCTTCCCTTGAGAATTGTGGAAATATTTCTTTATAACGTCCAACGGTTTTTTCTTCTTTACGACTGTATACTACAAATATATTATAATTTAAAAATATGCTTAACAATTGACTATAGTATATTAACTTATACTAACTTATTTTCAAAACGATGTAAATTTTAATTTGATATTCTTGTTGCTACATTGATACACCAACACCGTATGTATTATTAAAGTCCCAAAATGTGCTAGAAGATCCTCGCTAAAATAACACCAGAGACTAATTGTGGTGACGAGTTACTGGTGGAAAATGTGGTTGGCAAAAATACAAAACAAAAACACTTTAGCATTGAGATAGTAGGTCATTATCTAACTGCCCGTAACGTTCCTAACCACATTTTTTTTCCTGTATAAAGCTGTAACGGTACTCAAGTTAGAATATTAGTACTTTATAGGAGTATTTTTTTTTTTTAGAAATTGCAAAAAGCGTAAAGTATTACTTTTGGTCAATGAAAATTACTCCATGAAACAGTTATCAAGTTATGAGCTTTTGAAAAACAAAAAGTACAATAAATTCCATTCCCGGTTAGCGGAAATGGCAAAAAAAGTTGAAAAAGAACTGCAAATTTGATATAACACTTATACGTGCAATTTCATCAACGTAGTGAAGTTATATAAGTATGTTCCAGAAAGTTTAGGGGACATAACTCCCACTTTATTTCAGACGTGAACATGTGTGAGGGCGAGCCGTGTGGCCAACACGGTACTTGTATCTCTGGTCTGGACACGCTTCAGTGCGTGTGTCACACGCCGTGGTCCGGGGATCGGTGCCAGGTGGCTCCAGACTTTTGTGCAGACAACGTGTGTGCTAACGGCGCCACCTGTGTCAACATGCCAGAGGACAACATGTACAGGTGTCAATGTGCACCTGGATATTATGGCGTCCTGTGCAAGCAAAGGCGTGGTATGTTTTTGGTCATGTAAATTAATTACAGAAATCAGCTAGAAATCGATAAATTAGCTGAAATTCAAGAAATTTGCTCAGTCAAGAAATTAACTGGATATCAAGAAATAAGTTTTAAAAAACTAGCAGAAAGGTTTAGCTTAAAATTATTTTAATATAAATATCGACATCAAGAGAGCACATTGGTCCCTACGACAATACCATTGTCTCTAATTCCACGTTAACCCTTGTAATTGTTACTCTAATATAATAATATTTCCCGTCTTTTATAGTTATCAAAGCTATTTTCCAATACTCCACGTATTTGATCCGATTATTTCCCCTTTAAAAACATTTCATAAATCTGATCATAGCCGTTTATCCTTCTGTATCACTGAAATAGTTGCCTAACCTTATCTGGACGATATCTTTATCTCCCATCAAACAGTGCTTTAACTATCTCTCCTTAAATACAATTTAAAACTTTTCACGTGTATTTCTAAAATTAGCAATTCCTTAGTATCTATATATATAATTCTCTTCTGGGAGACGCTACAAAACAAGCTGTAAACGCGCTCCCTACCATCCCCACCCCTACACGGTCTTAGAGAGCTGTGGTTCACGCTATGTTTACCTTCGTGGAGTCGGGTTTAGTGACGGCTATTAGGGGCAGATAATTTAGTTTGAAATGATTTTAAACGTTGGGGGGGGGGGGGGGGGGAAGGAGGGGGGGGGGGGGTTATCGTCCTTAACGTGCTACTTATAGTGTTTTAAAGAAATATTTTCAGTTTCAGCGTTGGTACTGTCGAATTAACAAATTATGAATTACTGAAAAGTAGAAAAAACAACTAAATAGCGGCGTATGTTATGCCGCGGGTCGGCTCGTCACTTATATAATTACAACGTCGTAATTTCTAACACTTTTATCTCCCCTATTACCATTGAACTTACCTCCCCTATGACCATTGAACTTATCTCCTGACCATTGAACTTATCTCACCTATGACCATTGAACTTATCTCCCCTATTACCATTGAACTTACCTCCCCTATGACCATTGAACTTATCTCCTGACCATTGAACTTATCTCCCTTATGACCATTGAACTTATCTTCCCTATGACCATTGAACTTATCTCCCCTGTGACCATTGAACTACTTATCTCCCCTATGACCATTGAACTTATCTCCCTTATGACCATTGAACTTATCTCCCCTATGACCATTGAACTTATCTCCCCTGTGACCATTGAACTTATCTCCCCTCTGACCATTGAACTTATCTCCCCTATGACCATTGAACTTATCTCCCCCCTAAACAGAAACAATAGACGGCCACTGGGGCAACTGGGGCGAGTGGTCAGAGTGTTCCGTCACGTGTGAGTCGGGAACAAGGTCAAGGACGAGGGAGTGTAACAACCCCGCTCCCCGAGGAGACGGAAAAGTCTGCCACGGTGAAGGTCACGAGGAAGAAGTTTGTATCACCAACTGCTCCAGTAAGTCACATGGTTTTTTTTCCCCACGTTTTCTTTAACTTGCTTTCGCGTCTGTTTGTTTTTCCATCAAATCTTGCGATCAAAATGTCGGGCACTTCCCAGTCAGCTAGCGCGCTGAAATTTTCAGGGAAGCTTTGTTTCCGATGACAATACAATATTCAATTATTATTATTACAAAATTGATCCATGGAAAAATTTTATTGATCATTTTAGACTCCTATTGATTTGTACCAAAAAAATGGACATAACCTAGTAATTGTAATTTGATAAAAACAAAGTTCGGTACTTTCCCTTGAAAAAGATCGAAACCGAAAATCTGCAGCTTTAGCGATGGAGACAGAAAAACAAACAAAGTGTCTCTCGTAAAGCAAAAGTGCGTCATGCTACTGCTCGTGCGATTGAGACAGAACAAGAAAGGACCTCTCGTCTTGCTAAGCAGAAAGAACGAACCTCCAGCTGATCCTGAATAATAAACGTGTCATGCCTGGTATAAGTCCCTTTTATCTTTGTGTTCGTCCTTTGTGAGTGTTTGTCTTCGTTTACCCAAAAAAAAAGTGAATGCGAGAAGATAAAATCGATAGCAAGATTTGAATGTAAACAAACAGACAAAGACTAAAAAGTAGAAAATAATTATCATTATTTTTTTTTAAAAACCTACGTTTTCTGATTGAACTAAAAAGTATAAATCAATGCTATACATCACAATAATGCAAGCGATCACTCAACTATAAGCGATCGCAAACTGCGTGCGCATTATGACAAAAAAATGAAAAACGTGGGGCGCCGAAGTAAAAGTAAAAGTTCAATCAGAAAACGTGGGTTTTTAAAAAAGAAAATTATTTATAATTATTTTTTTTATATACTTGTCTGAGAGCCACGTGACGAGATGTTACATTGAAATATTAATGTTGTAAATTAGCAACAAATACGAGTAAAGGTATATAAAAACATGTGATGTAGAGTAGCAACAATCAAACGGAAGCATAGACAATTTTGTAATGCTTGTTTCAGATTGTCAATGGGGAACATGGTCGCCATGGAAACCGGAAGTAACTTGCGGAAGAGGTTTTGAAATCCGCATTCGAAACAAAAACAAAACCGAGGCTCAAAATGGCGGGTCAAAGTGCAGGGGCCCTGCGCATGTCTATCGATTGTTGAACTTACCCGGATGTCCAGGTAAGGTTGGTACTGGACCATTTGTAGAGGCTGATGTTAGCTAGTTAATGTAACCGAGTATTACTTCAAGTCATTTTCTAGCTGTAAAACTATCTTGGCTAGTGTCTGATTGTAGTTGTACACTAGCTCTAGATCTGGTACTGTCCCAGTACATACCCATATCCTGGACTTAGCCGCATTTATGACACTACCGATGATCTTATATAAAGATAAGCGTGGGTCTCTTCCTAAATATTAGTAAAGTTATCTAATAGATACTATAGTTACCCATGCTTTTTAAATAGCTTTTTAATTAGTAGTGTATTATTATGTATATAAGGAAAATCATTTATTTTCTCCCTTTTAGTACATTATTACATATAAGCTTTTTATTACTACGTTTTTAATGCATTTTTTACAAGAACTGTCAATTAAAATGTATACCTGCTTTTGTTTTCTCATGAAGTGAACGGTCAGTTCGGCCACTGGTCACCGTGGTCTGAGTGCTCAGCATCGTGTGGTGGGGGCGTGTCCTCTAGGTCACGTGCATGTGACAACCCTCCTCCCAAAAATGGCGGACAGCCGTGTACTCACTCACTGGCCAGGGAGAGCCGGACGTGCAATGAGCAGACGTGTAGAGGTAAAAATTTCCAAAACGTGTTTTACTGTGTCGGGTCACGTTATGCCCTCTAGTATGTCCTGTCACTCACGTGATGTCCACCAGAGTGTCCTGTCAGTCAAGTGATGTCCTCTAGTGTGTCCTGTCAGTCACGTGATTTCTGTCCCCTAGTGTGTCCTTTCAGTCACATGATGTTATTTAGTAATGTCCTGTCAGTCACGTGATGTCCTCTAGCGTGTCCTGTCAGTCACGTGATGTCCTCTAGCGTGTCCTGTAAGTCACGTGATGTCCTCTAGTGTGTCCTGTCAGTCACGTGATGTCCCCTTGTGTGTCCTGTCAGTCACGTGATGTCCTCTAGTGTGTCCTGTCAGTCACGTGATGTCCCCTTGTGTGTCCTGTAAGTCACGTGATGTCCTATAGTATGTCATGTGAGTCACGTGATCTCTGCCCACCAGTGTGTCCAGTACCAGAGCCAAGAACTAACTGGAAGTCCTGGAACTGTACCAACCAAGACGGCGACATGACCAGCTGCAACATCGTGTGCAAGCCTGGCATGGCTATCGTGGAGGACGTCGACAACATCTTCATCTGTGGGTTCGCCACCAACTACACCTGGTCACAGCAGACGGTGGTCAACCCGGTGGGAATTCTGCCAGACTGCACAGGTAGGGGGCGTGTCTTGCAGGGTACCTGTCAGACTGTACAGGTAGGGGGCGTGTCTTGCAGGGTACCTGTCAGACTGCACAGGTAGGGGGCGTGTCTTGCAGGGTACCTGCCAGACTGCACAGGTAGGGGGCGTGTCTTGCAGGGTACCTGCCAGACTGCACAGGTAGGGGGCGTGTCTTGTAGGGTACCTGTGAGACTGCACACGTAGGGGGCGTGTCTTGCAGGGTACCTGTCAGACTGTACAGGTAATGGGCGTGTCTTGCAGGGTACCTGTCAGATTGTACAGGTAGGGGGCGTGTCTTGCAGGGTACCTGTCAGATTGTACAGGTAGGGGGCGTGTCTTGCAGGGTACCTGTTAGACTGCACAGGTAGGGGGCGTGTCTTGTAGGGTACCTGTTAGACTGCATGTAAGATGCACGTCATGCAGGATTCCTGTCAAACAATACCCATATGCTTTTAGCCAAATGTTGGGGAAGTTATAACTTCCCACTGCAGTGGATCTTTAATCTATACATTGCTTGCTCAACGATTTGTGTACAAGTTTCCAAGTCTAATTGAGAGGTCGTTCCTAACTTAAAACATTGAGATATTGAACACATCAAATTGAATTGTTGATTTTTACATTTCTTTAAACAGCGATCGTTAAAAAAAACCCTAAAACCTCTGACTCCCCACCCTAAAACCCTATTTCCCACCCTAAAACCTATGACTCCCCACCCTAAAACCTCTGACTCCCCTCCCTAAAACCTCTGACTCCCCACCCTAAAACCTCTGACTCCCCTCCCTAAAACCTCTGACTCCACCCTAAAACCTCTGACTCCCCACCCTAAAACCTCTGACTCCCCACCCTAAAACCTCTGACTCCCCATCTTAAAATTCTGACTCCCCACCCTATAACCTCTGACTCCCCATCTTAAAATTCTGACTCCCCACCCTAAAACCTCTGACTCACCATCCTAAAACCTCTGACTCCCCACCCTAAAACCTCTGACTCTCTACTCAGACAGGAAAATCCCCCAGTCGATCAAGCCACAGATAACTGTGACCATTGACGTCAACTGTAACGACAGCCCGTCCCCAGAACAGTTTGAGGAGGCGATGAGTAATCGAATAGGTGACCTGGAGTGTAGGAGGGAAAACAAATGTGGTTACGTCATCAAGTCTGAGAGAAGGTGTGGCAGGAAGCGATCAACAGGTGGGTTTGGTAACAATCGATAAGTAATTATAATTATAAATACAAATACAAATACAAATACAAATACAAATACAAATACAAATACAAATACAAATACAAATACAAATACAAATACAAATACAAATACAAATACAAATACAAATACAAATACAAATACAAATACAAATACAAATACAAATACAAATACAAATACAAATACAAATACAAATGCAAATGCAAATGCAAATGCAAATGCAAATGCAAATGCAAATGCAAATGCAAATGCAAATGCAAATGCAAATGCAAATGCAAATGCAAATGCAAATGCAAATGCAAATGCAAATGCAAATGCAAATGCAAATGCAAATGCAAATGCAAATGCAAATGCAAATGCAAATGCAAATGCAAATGCAAATGCAAATGCAAATGCAAATGCAAATGCAAATGCAAATGCAAATGCAAATGCAAATGCAAATGCAAATGCAAATGCAAATGCAAATGCAAATGCAAATGCAAATGCAAATGCAAATGCAAATGCAAATGCAAATGCAAATGCAAATGCAAATGCAAATGCAAATGCAAATGCAAATGCAAATGCAAATGCAAATGCAAATGCAAATGCAAATGCAAATGCAAATGCAAATGCAAATGCAAATGCAAATGCAAATGCAAATGCAAATGCAAATGCAAATGCAAATGCAAATGCAAATGCAAATGCAAATGCAAATGCAAATGCAAATGCAAATGCAAATGCAAATGCAAATGCAAATGCAAATGCAAATGCAAATGCAAATGCAAATGCAAATGCAAATGCAAATGCAAATGCAAATGCAAATGCAAATGCAAATGCAAATGCAAATGCAAATGCAAATGCAAATGCAAATGCAAATGCAAATGCAAATGCAAATGCAAATGCAAATGCAAATGCAAATGCAAATGCAAATGCAAATGCAAATGCAAATGCAAATGCAAATGCAAATGCAAATGCAAATGCAAATGCAAATGCAAATGCAAATGCAAATGCAAATGCAAATGCAAATGCAAATGCAAATGCAAATGCAAATGCAAATGCAAATGCAAATGCAAATGCAAATGCAAATGCAAATGCAAATGCAAATGCAAATGCAAATGCAAATGCAAATGCAAATGCAAATGCAAATGCAAATGCAAATGCAAATGCAAATGCAAATGCAAATGCAAATGCAAATGCAAATGCAAATACAAATACAAATACAAATACAAATACAAATACAAATACAAATACAAATACAAATACAAATACAAATACAAATATATATATATATATATATATATATACTAGAATACCCGTCATCCGTTGGATAACTGTGGGTTTCGGGGGTCATCCATCAAAAAACATCACGTCTGTCACTCAGAGGCATAGCGACCCTTCCCGGCGCCCGGGGCCAAGTTTTCGATTTGAACCCCCCCCCCCCCAAGATTTCGATTTTCAACCCCCCCTCAAACTTTTGATGTGCAACCCCCCCCCCCCCCCCACTCAAACTTTCGATTTGAACCCCCCTCAACCTTTCAATTTATTTTTCCAAACCATTTTGGCGCCCGAACATATGTCGTCCCCCCCCGCCCCCCCTCCACCTCTCCTTCCCCCCCCCCCGCCTCCCCTCCCCCTCCCGCTCCCCCCCCCTCCTCGCTACGCTACTGCAGTGTCACTTATCGTCACAAAAAACAGACCCCACATTCAAAAATATGTTTTTTATCTTTTAAAAACACCGAAAACACCGATTTCGGACTATCCCTTCATATACTAACTTCATAGGTGACCTACTCAACTCTACTTCACCTGCCCAGTGTCCCGCCAAGTCTCAGACAACATGTTTTTATCGTTTAAAAAACGATTCCAGCCGAGCATGTATCTGACCACACTATCCATTCATATGCTTAGGACAAAGAAACAGATGAACTCTACTTCACCTGCCCTGTATCTTGCCAAGTTCAGATAGGCAACGTTATCATTCACATCTAAAAAAAAAAATTGAAAAAAAAAATTTCATTGACATATTGGTCTAGAACCCGTGCCTCCTGCATGAGAGCTGACTACGCTACCATTTTAGCTATTTACTCGTGACGTCACAAGTGAATTTTTATACTATACTATGTGTCTCCTTATGCAACTTTATTTACGCGTATAGATTCTAGATCTAGATCTAAAAATAAGTCTAGTAGTACTAACTTTCAAATTAAATTTTATCTTAAATAAGCCAAACAAAGATTTATATAAAATAATTAAGGCCTGAAATAGATTCTAGATGTAGAATTTACATTGAATCTAGTGACCTACATCTAGGCTAGATCTAGATCTAGGCTAGATTCATAAATTTCCTTCGATAGCTGATCTTTAGATCTAGAGAAATTTATCGTAAAACTAAATGAAAAAGACAGTTGAAAATTGATATAAGTGTTGGAACGTAATAAATACAGCAAACGGACGTATTGTTAAAGCTATGACCGACAGAAAATTAGATTTAGAACGCGTTAAACTTTTGAATGGGAACGCAATTTTCTTCAATAGACGCCGCCATTTTATTGTACTAAAGAGTAAACAAAAACCTGTGACGTCACTATTCCCACAAAGTTTAGTCAAGGTTTTAACATTTTAAAAAAAAATGGGTTATTCTGCGTAGGAATAAATCAATAAATTAATTAACGTCTTTAAATAAATTTGTGATCAACAGTCTGTCTGCATTAAAAAATTATTCTCTACCTGCATACCATTTTACAGCTTTCCAGATAGAGTCGAACATATCACAATTTTCGATCAGGCAAACAAATAAATATTCAAACATGTAAACAAAGTTGACTTTTAGTAGTATATAGATAGATATATATATACATTGTGAAAGAAGGGGGGGGGGAGAAAGAAAGACTGCTCTACCTACTCCCTATTTTATATCCCCAGGTGCTGTGGTCATGACGGTTGACCTTGAGGTGCTGGGTTACGATGATGTCAAGGCCGACTACTTTAGTCAGCTTTCTGGTACTTAAAGATTTTACTGGTTATCTACCATCTCTACCTGTCTCTATGTGTCGAAATTAAATTTCAGCCAACTGTTGGCTTTATGTCTATGTTCTAGATCCGACTTCATTTACCTAAATTTTTCAACTTAACTTCACTTTTTTTAAATGACCATACCAAGGCTAGTTTGATGCGCAGTTGAGCTCCGCCATCTTGGCCTATATTTGTATCCCAAGGATTTGTCTGCTCCACAGAAGAAGAAGCAGAACGCCAGATGGAGCACCTGTACACGCTGGAGAAGATGGTCAAGGAGATCTCGGACAAGAACGAGACTTTGTTCTCGCCTGTCGTGGACGGGGTCGAGTTCAAAGGTCACGTGGAGACCTTTCAGGCGGTGGTGACGTGTCAAGAAGGATCGGGGCTTTTACATGGATTCTGTGGTGTGTGGGTTTGTGTTGTGTGGGTTTGTGTGGTGTGTGAGTTTGCGTGGGCTGTGGGTTTGTGTGGTGTGTGGGTTTGTGTGGTGTGTGGGTTTGTGTTTTGTGGGTTTGTGTGGTGTGTGAGTTTGTGTGGTGTGTGGGTCTGTGTGGTGTGTGGGTCTGTGTGTTTGTCTGGTATGTGGGTCTGTGTGGTGTGTGGGTTTGTGTGGTATGTGGGTCTGTGTGGTGTGGGTCTGTGTGGTGTGTGGGTTTGTGTGGTATGTGGGTCTGTGTGGTGTGGGGTGTGTGGCTTGATGTAGCGTGTGGATTAATGTTATGTGTTATGTGATGTAAGTGTTTTTTTTTTATGTATGTGTTTTGTGTGGCGTATCTTTATGTATGAATTCACTAATTTGTGTCCTCAGTCGACTGCCCAGCCGGAAGTTACTCCACCGGAAACGGCTCATGTCTGCTGTGTGAGAAAGGTTTTTACCAGGACCAGGCCAAGATGTCCGAGTGTTTGCCGTGTCCAAACGGTCAGTACTGGTCAAAGTTGTAGTTTAACGATCAGTAGTGGTCAAAGTTGTAACTTAACGGTCAGTACTGGTCAAAGTTGTAACTTAACGGTCAGTACTGGTCAAAGTTGTAACTTAACGGTCATTACTGGTCAAAGTTGTGTCCAACGGTCAGTACTGGTCAGTTGTGTCCAACGGTCAGTACTGGTCAAAGTTGTAACTTAACGGTCAGTACTGGTTAAAGTTGTAACTTAACGGTCAGTACTGGTCAAAGTTGTAACTTAACGGTCAGTACTGGTCAAAGTTGTGTCCAACGGTCAGTACTGGTCAGTTGTGTCCAACGGTCAGTACTGGTCAAAGTTGTAACTTAACGGTCAGTACTGGTCAAAGTTGTAACTTAACGGTCAGTACTGGTCAAAGTTGTAACTTAACGGTCAATACTGGTCAAAGTTGTAACTTAACGGTCAATACTGGTCAAAGTTGTAACTTAACGGTCAATACTGGTCAAAGTTGTAACTTAACGGTCAGTACTGGTCAAAGTTGTAACTTAACGGTCAGTACTGGTCAAAGTTGTAACTTAACGGTCATTATCTTTCAAAGTTTTAGGTCGTTTGAAAGTAAATTTGAATGTCAAATTAATAATTTAAACTGTTATACAACAGCGTTCCTAAATACAATTAATAAAATTTGAGTTAAGAATAATATTTATTTACTTAAGTAATCAATATAACTCATTTTTAAAATATTTACAAATAGCCTACTGTAAAAATATATTCCTGCACACAATTTAATTTATAAATAAGATATATCTAGAGACGACCTTAAACACCTGATAGGTGTGTTGGACTGTGTATTTAACGGACAACCTTAAAGACCTGATAGGTGTGTTTGTAGTTTACTTGTGGTTTCCTTACACATCTCAGACACGACGACTTCCGGTGTTGGCGCCTACTCCATGGATGAGTGCACATCCACACCTGTTTTGTACGAAGACATCTTCCCACCGGTATATGACGGGGACGTGGGCACTGACGTCACACAGGTGACAGATGTTGACAATAGCACAGGTAAATCAAGGCACCACAGCTACAATACTACACGTTAGAGATAAATCTTCACTCTTACATTAAGTTCGTGTGTTGGTAATTGACTCGTCTGTGTTTATAGTTGACTTGTGTGTCAATAGTTGACTTGTGTGTGTCAATTGTTGACTCGGGTGTGTCAATTGTTGACTTGTGTGTGTCAAAAGCTGTCTTGTGTGTCAATAGTTAACATTTGTTTCAAAGTTGTGTTGGCTGTCAAAAGTTGTCCTGTGTGTCAAAAGTTGACTTGTGTGTGTGTCAATAGTTGACTTGGGTGTGTGAACAGTTGACTTACGTGTGTCGAAAAGTGACTCGTGTGTCAAAAGTTGTCTTGTGTGTGTCCATAATTGACTTGGGTGTTGTTACAAACACCACTCTATCAGCCACAGAGCTGGCGAACGTACCCGGGTTCGTTATACACAGATGGCTTAAAGCCCTATAAAAGGTAGCTGGCACAACAGTTCACGAGGACTCGTACTTAACGTCTAGGGGATACACTCGAGGAACTCCTGATACCAACAACACATTTAATCCATATATAACTTTTAATATGTGTACAAATTCAAGATAAGACTCTAGCTTTATACAGAATAAAATGAATGAGTAGAATAACGAAAACCCAACTTACAAATTGAAGAAAAAACACTATGTTACACTATCACAGGAGATGGCACTTATGAAAATCACCACAGCTTATACGACACTACTTAAATCACACAATATTACTTAAAACCACAAGTAATAAGGGAAAATGCTGCTTAAAACTACAAAGTACAATATGGCGGCTCATACGGCCACCTCTCTCAGAATGACTGATCTGGGCTACTATGGACTGCTGCGGTCGGCTGCTATGGACTGCTGCGGTCGGCTGCCCAGAAAGGGTTCTGCGCATGGATTTCATCAACTTTGGAAACATGTCCGAGTCAACCAATCGTAATTATAGAAGGATTACACCACAACTCGTGATGGAAAAGTACCGGGTATATGTCTTTCTTGAAACAATGGAAAAACACCGGTGATTACACCACAGGTCATTCATGGTTGGGTAATAAATGTAAACTAAAAAAGAATACAAGACCTAAGTAGGTCACAGTGTGTCAATAGTTGACTTAGGTGTGTCAATAGTTGTCCGGTGTGTCAACAGTTGACTTAGGTGTGTCGTTGTCCTGTGTGTCAAAAGTTGACATTTGTGTCAAACGTTCTGTGTGTTCTAGAACTGAATGCAACAGCACCAGGCTGGATAACATCTGGAACATCTGAGACACAAGTGACGACATTAAAAGATGGCACATCAGGTATATCAAATTATTTTTCTCTTATGCATATCTCATTTAATCATGTTACCCATTACAGCTTGGTAGATCCAAGTCAGGTACCTATTACAGCTGGATGAACTCAGGGAGCTTCTATGGGTTCAAACCCGTTAACCTGAATGAATTCAACACTCTATTCCCATACCAATATGCCACTGTCCAAACATTACAACTAAACCATACCAGAAAAGATTACAGTACAAAGCCAATAGCAATGTAAATAGAAAGTTATATTTCAACGCTAAGGGTAGACAAAGGTACAGAATATACAGAATATACAGAATATAGAACAAGTAGAGACAGAGATTTTTAACCCAATGGGATTCAAACCTACAAATTCACACGGCAACAAATCGCCTCGCCCTCCATGCATCAAGTCTGACCTGCAAACACTTCTGTCAATCAGCGCTACAAAAATAGAGCTATCATGGCAGACCACTAACACAGCTTGTGCACGGAAGACGCTGGCTGGCTTGACCTCTGAACCCCGAAGGGTCTGACCGCTATCCACATAATCACAACAAGGACCATTATTCGACCAGATAAGCGACACAAATACAGGCACGATGATACATACAAATAGTAGCTTCCTAAAATGGGTATAGTGTGAACGTGTAGATGGGATGGTGTACACAGTAGGATAACTCGCGACTGAATTAATGTGTACTAAAAAGTATGCTACCTAAATTGGTTAAAAATGTAAAAGATTTTTTTTTTCTAATTTATAACGGTTAATGTAAAACTGAAAAATTAATCTTTTTGATAAAATATATTTTGTGTCTATCTTGCTTTTATTTTAATTTCAAAGATTATTTTGTAGTAATAAAATACCTTATTATTCTACACTTGAGATATACATCAAAACAATATTTGCGTAGCTAACACAAAAATATGTTTAACGCCATTAGATACTGGAATAATGTTTCAATGTTTATTTATCGAGTCAAAATGTTTCTATTTCAAATTTTCCAGACGACCAGACCCTGACTGTTGCTGTTTCCGTTTCTGTTGGAGTTGTTGTCCTTGTTGTCGTCATTATAATCACTGTCGTCATTTACCGAAAGTAAGTTGTACGTCAGAAACTAGCAAATAGAAAGTAAGTTGTACGTCTGAAACTAGCAAATATTTACTAACATAGCCGCAAGATTTAAAAAAAAAAGGATTTACATAGTTATGATTGAATAATTCGACTTTTTGCACTCCTATGATTGAATGATTAAATAACTCGACCTGTTACACACCTATGATTGTATTATTGAATAATTCGACCTTTTACACACCTATGATTGTATGATTGAGAAATTCGACCTTTTACACACTTATGATTGTATGATTGAATAACTCGACCTGTTACACACCTATGATTGTATGATTGAGTAATTCGACCTTTTACATTGAAGGATGAAACAAAGACAGCATCTAGTGGACAGCTTCCAGTGATGGTTTTAACAGCAGCTGCTGACCATGTAAACTGTCTGTCAGTCGTCTGACACGTGTGTCTGTCCTACCCCTGTCCACTCGGTCACCTGATTTTTTTACAACATAACCACACGACCATCCGACCACATGACCACCTGTCCACCTGACCACCTGACCACATGACCACCTGTCCACCTGACCACCTGACCACATAACCACCTGTACACCTGACCACCTGACCACCTGACCACATGACCACATAACCACCTGACCACCTGACCACCTGACCACATCACCACCTGTCCACATAACCACCTGACCACCTGACCACATGACCACCTGACCACATGACCACCTGACCACATAACCACCTGACCACCTGACCACATGACCACATGACCACATGACCACCTGACCACCTGACCACATGACCACCTAACCACCTGACCACATAACCACCTGACCACCTGACCACATGACCACCTAACCACCTGACCACCTGACCACATGACCACATCAACACCTGACCACCTGACCACCTGACCACATGACCACATCAACACCTGACTACATGACTACATCAACACCTGACCACCTGACCACATGACCACCTGACAACCTGACCACCTGACCACCTGACCACATGACCACATGATCACCTGACCACCTGACCACCTGACCACCTGACTACCTGACCACCTGACCACATGACCACCTGACCACCTGACCACCTGACCACCTGACTACCTGACCACCTGACCACCTGACCACCTGACCACCTGACTACCTGACTACCTGACCACCTGACCACATGACCACCTGACCACCTGACCACCTGACTACCTGACCACCTGACCACATGACCACCTGACCACATGACCACCTGACCACCTGACCACATGACCACCTGACCACACCACCACCTGACCACACCACCACCTGACCACATGACCACATGACCACATGACCACATGACCACATGACCACATGACCACCTGACCCTCTATCCACATGACCACCTGACCAATACTTAGAGCCTATTTTTTAATACAAAAATTGTATATTAGAAACTCAATTTAAAAAGTTGGTCTATTTTGATCAATTGTTCCAAACTTATATTTCCTTACTTGAACATGATTTTGTATCATCACTAAATATATTATCACATTTTATTATTATGATGTATATATTTCATATAGAAATGTTTATTATTGTGAAAAAGTGAATTGTTGTCGAAATTATATTGTTGTATTTTATTATGTTCACTAGGTTTGGTTGAAATATTGTGAAACTAATTATCAAAATGTCGTGCACTATGTACTGCTCTGATTATGCAATTAACAATTTTATTTATAGTTGAGTTTTTTTCTTTACATTGATTGTGAAAGAGATCTAGAACTGTTTTTTTCCCACACCAAGACGCTGCCCAGTGTTGTTTGGCGCCACAGGGTCATTTGTGTTAGCTTCAAATAATAAATAACCTTTTCGAACGTGACGGTTCATGAGAGAGGTGAAGGGATTGTATGGTCAGCACCACACCCAGCCGCCTTTGCTTTCCCTGTGTGAGTCAGGTATCCATCAAGTCACAGGATTCGAACTCGAGTCCTTTGGGTTAGCAATTGTATGCTCCACCATCCTACCACAACCCCCCCCCCGCCGTTAGCTATAATGAAAACGTCGTATATTGAGAGTACGGTGAGTTGTGTACTTAACATCAGTCGTATTGTCATCCAAAGTGGCCCCCACCCCAACATAACAATGGATAAAACTTTTTAAAACTTAAATGCTAACTAGTTTGTCTGAAATATATGTGACTATTATTGTCAAACATTTCTAATGCAAATAATAATTCTAAAACCACAGTTATTGCGATTTTCAAAATCGAAATTTCAATTTAAAAAAGTAGGTTATCGTTGATTAAAGTCACCTGTCATAATTGTGTTATACTTGTGTTATACTTGTGTTATACTTGTGTTATACTTGTCATATACTTGTCTTATACTTGTCTTATACTTGTCTTATACTTGTCTTATACTTGTCTTATAATTGTGTTATAATTGTGCTACAATTGTGTTATAATTGTGTTATACTTGTGTTATACCTCAAACAAAATACCACAACATCTTTCACACAATTAAGTGGTATGTTCGTAACATTAGATAACGATTTGATTTAGGACTATACCACAATTTTCGAATAACAATACCAGTAATAAAGATTTCTAAAAAAAATCCAATTCTCAGAGTTTAATTTATATTTCCATTAAGATGATTTCCCACACAGGTCGGTGGTATTTTTTTTCCGGTCAGCCCAGGATATTCACGGTATCTATTTTTAAATATCATCTTTCGCACAAAACATTTTCCCGATTTTAGCGAAATAATCAGCTGCAGCTTCAGTCCATTCGTGATAGGTATATATATATATATATATATATATATATATATATATATATATATATATATATATATATATATATATATATATATATATATATATATATATATATATATATATATATATATATATATATATATATATATATATATATATATATATATATATATATATATATATATATATATATATATATATATGCCTTTCACTCTCTCTACACACACACACACACACACACACACACACACACACATATATATATATATATATATATATATATATATATATATATATATATATATATATATATATATATGCCTTTCACTCTCTCTACACACACACACACACACACACACACACACACACACATATATATATATATATATATATATATAGGCCTATATATATATATATATATATATATATATATAGATAGATATATATATATATAATATATATATATATATATATAAAATATATATATATATATATATGACTTTCTCTCTCTCACTATCTCCCCCTCCCCACCCCCCTAAGATTGCTTTACAAATTCCCAGTAACCATGTGACAAACATTTTATAAAAAAACAAGTACACTTGAGTGGGATGCAATTCAACAGCCTGACAGCTATTTTTAGCTACAAACACAACCCCTGTCAGCTAGGAAGTAAATTTAGAAGTTTTTTTTTTAATTTTTTTTTTTTTGTGATGCAGGTACAAAGGGTTGGCTTTTGGTTAGGTTCACGTCATTATGTGGGTTGGTGAGATGGTGTTTGGTGAGGTTTAGTGTGTGGGTTGGAGAGATGTTGTTTGGTGAGGTTTAGTGTGTGGGTTGGTGAGATGATGTTTGGTGAGGTTAAGTGTGTGGGTTGGTGAGATGGTGTTTGGTGAGGTTTAGTGTGTGGGTTGGTGAGATGATGTTTGGTGAGGTTAAGTGTGTGGGTTGGTGAGATGTTGTTTGGTGAGGTTTAGTGTGTGGGTTGCTGAGATGTTTGGTGAGGTTTAGTGTGTGGGTTGGTGAGATGTTGTTTGGTGAGGTTAAGTGTGTGGGTTGCTGAGATGTTTGGTGAGGTTTAGTGTGTGGGTAGGTGAGATGTTTTTTGGTGAGGTTTAGTGTGTGGGTTGGTGAGATGTTTGGTGAGGTTTAGTGTGTTGGTTGGTGAGATGTTGTTTGGTGAGGTTAAGTATGTGGGTTGCTGAGATGTTTGGTGAGGTTTAGTGTGTGGGTAGGTGAGATGTTGTTTGGTGAGGTTAAGTGTGTGGGTTGGTGAGATGTTGTTTGGTGAGGTTAAGTGTGTGGGTTGCTGAGATGTTTGGTGAGGTTTAGTGTGTGGGTAGGTGAGATGATGTTTGGTGAGGTTTAGTGTGTGGGTTGGTGAGATGTTTGGTGAGGTTTAGTGTGTGGGTTGGTGAGATGATGTTTGGTGAGGTTAAGTGTGTGGGTTGGTGAGATGGTGTTTGGTGAGGTTTAGTGTGTGGGTAGGTGAGATGTTGTTTGGTGAGGTTTAGTGTGTGGGTTGGTGAGATGTTGTTTGGTGAGGTTTAGTGTGTGGGCTGGTGAGATGTTGTTTGGTGAGGTTTAGTGTGTGGGTTGGAGAGATGTTGTTTGGTGAGGTTTAGTGTGTGGGTTGGTGAGATGATGTTTGGTGAGGTTAAGTGTGTGGGTTGGTGAGATGGTGTTTGGTGAGGTTTAGTGTGTGGGTTGGTGAGATGACGTTTGGTGAGGTTAAGTGTGTGGGTTGGTGAGATTGTGTTTGGTGAGGTTTAGTGTGTGGGTAGGTGAGATGTTGTTTGGTGAGGTTTAGTGTGTGGGTTGGTGAGATGTTGTTTGGTGAGGTTTAGTGTGTGGGCTGGTGAGATGTTGTTTGGTGAGGTTTAGTGTGTGGGTTGGTGAGATGTTGTTTGGTGAGGTTTAGTGTGTGGGCTGGTGAGATGTTGTTTGGTGAGGTTTAGTGTGTGGGTTGGTGAGATGTTGTTTGGTGAGGTTTAGTGTGTGGGTTGGTGAGATGATGTTTGGTGAGGTTAAGTGTGTGGGTTGGTGAGATGGTGTTTGGTGAGGTTTAGTGTGTGGGTAGGTGAGATGTTGTTTGGTGAGGTTTAGTGTGTGGGTTGGTGAGATGGTGTTTGGTGAGGTTTAGTGTGTGGGTAGGTGATATGTTGTTTGGTGAGGTTTAGTGTGTGGGTTGGTGAGATGTTTGGTGAGGTTTAGTGTGTGGGTTGGTGAGATGTTGTTTGGTGAGGTTTAGTGTGTGGGTTGGTGAGATGTTGTTTGGTGAGGTTTAGTGTGTGGGTTGGTGAGATGTTGTTTGGTGAGGTTTAGTGTGTGGGTTGGTGAGATGTTGTTTGGTGAGGTTTAGTGTGTGGGTTGGTGAGATGTTTGGTGAGGTTTAGTGTGTGGGTTGGTGATATGTTGTTTGGTGAGGTTTAGTGTGTGGGTTGGTGAGATGATGTTTGGTGAGGTTAAGTGTGTGGGTTGGTGAGATGGTGTTTGGTGAGGTTTAGTGTGTAAGTAGGTGAGATGTTGTTTGGTGAGGTTTAGTGTGTGGGTTGGTGAGATGGTGTTTGGTGAGGTTTAGTGTGTGGGTAGGTGATATGTTGTTTGGTGAGGTTTAGTGTGTGGGTTGGTGAGATGTTTGGTGAGGTTTAGTGTGTGGGTTGGTGAGATGTTGTTTGGTGAGGTTTAGTGTGTGGGTTGGTGAGATGTTGTTTGGTGAGGTTTAGTGTGTGGGTTTGTGATATGTTGTTTGGTGAGGTTTAGTGTGTGGGTTGGTGAGATGTTTGGTGAGGTTTAGTGTGTGGGTTGGTGAGATGTTGTTTGGTTAGGTTTTGTGTGTGGGTTGGTGAGATGTTTGGTGAGGTTTAGAGTGTGGGTTGGTGAGATGTTGTTTGGTGAGGTTTAGTGTGTTGGTTGGTGAGATGTTTGGTGAGGTTTAGTGTGTGGGTAGGTGAGATGTTGTTTGGTTAGGTTTTGTGTGTGGGTTGGTGAGATGTTGTTTGGTGAGGTTAAGTGTGTGGGTTGGTGAGATGTTGTTTGGTGAGGTTAAGTGTGTGGGTTGGTGAGAGGTTGTTTGGTGAGGTTAAGTGTGTGGGTTGGTGAGATGTCGTTTGGTTAGGTTTTGTGTGTGGGTTGGTGAGATGTTGTTTGGTGAGGTTAAGTGTGTGGGTTGGTGAGATGTTGTTTGGTGAGGTTAAGTGTGTGGGTTGGTGAGATGTCGTTTTGTTAGGTTTTGTGTGTGGGTTGGTGAGATGTTGTTTTGTGAGGTTAAGTGTGTGGGTTGGTGAGATGTTGTTTGGTGAGGTTAAGTGTGTGGGTTGGTGAGATGGTGTTTGGTGAGGTTTAGTGTGTGGGTTGGTGAAATGTTTTTTAGGTTTAGTGTGTTGGTTGGTGAGATGGTGTTTGGTGAGGTTTAGTGTGTGGGTTGGTGAGATGTTTGGTGAGGTTAAGTGTGTGGGTTGGTGAGATGTTTGGTGAGGTTTAGTGTGTGGGTTGGTGAGATGTTTGGTGAGGTTAAGTGTGTGGGTTGGTGAGATGGTGTTTGGTGAGGTTTAGTGTGTGGGTAGGTGAGATGTTTGGTGAGGTTTATAGTGTGGGTTGGTGAGATTTTGTTTGGTGAGGTTTAGTGTGTGGGTTGGTGGGATGTTGTTTGGTGAGGTTTAGAGTGTGGGTTGGAGAGATGGTGTTTTGTGAGGTTTAGTGTGTGGGTTGGTGAGATGGTGTTTTGTGAGGTTTAGTGTGTGGGCTGGTGAGATGTTGTTTGGTGAGGTTAAGTGTGTGGGTTGGTGAGATGGTGTTTGGTGAGGTTTAGTGTGTGGGTTGGTGAGATGGTGTTTTGTGAGGTTTAGTGTGTGGGTTGGTGAGATGGTGTTTTGTGAGGTTTAGTGTGTGGGCTGGTGAGATGTTGTTTGGTGAGGTTAAGTGTGTGGGCTGGTGAGATGTTGTTTGGTGAGGTTTAGTGTGTGGGCTGGTGAGATGTTTGGTGAGGTTAAGTGTGTGGGTTGGTGAGATGGTGTTTGGTGAGGTTTAGTGTGTGGGTAGGTGAGATGTTTGGTGAGGTTTAGAGTGTGGGTTGGTGAGATGTTGTTTGGTGAGGTTTAGTGTGTGGGTTGGTGAGATGTTGTTTGGTGAGGTTTAGAGTGTGGGTTGGAGAGATGGTGTTTTGTGAGGTTTAGTGTGTGGGTTGGTGAGATGGTGTTTTGTGAGGTTTAGTGTGTGGGCTGGTGAGATGTTGTTTGGTGAGGTTTAGTGTGTGGGTTGGTGAGATGTTTGGTGAGGTTAAGTGTGTGGGTTGGTGAGATGTTGTTTGGTGAGGTTTAGTGTGTGGGTTGGTGAGATGTTTGGTGAGGTTAAGTGTGTGGGTTGGTGAGATGTTGTTTGGTGAGGTTAAGTGTGTGGGTTGGTGAGATGTTGTTTGGTGAGGTTTAGTGTGTGGGTTGGTGAGATGTTTGGTGAGGTTTAGTGTGTGGGTTGGTGAGATGTTGTTTGGTGAGGTTAAGTGTGTGGGTTGGTGAAATGTTTTTTAGGTTTAGTGTGTTGGTTGGTGAGATGGTGTTTGGTGAGGTTTAGTGTGTGGGTTGGTGAGATGTTTGGTGAGGTTTAGAGTGTGGGTTGGAGAGATGGTGTTTTTTGAGGTTTAGTGTGTGGGTTGGTGAGATGGTGTTTTGTAGGTTTAGTGTGTGGGTTGGTGAGATGTTGTTTGGTGAGGTTTAGTGTGTGGGTTGGTGAGATGTTTTGGTGAGGTTTAGTGTGTGGGTTGGTGAGATGTTGTTTGGTGAGGTTTAGTGTGTGGGTTGGTGAGATGTTTGGTGAGGTTTAGTGTGTGGGTAGGTGA